CGCCCGCCGCCAGCCACTGACCCGCCAGCGGCCCGGCCCTCTGCGGGGAGGTGACCGTGTCCGAGGAGTTGAAGCCTCCGAAGAGCTTGGGCTCGGCGGCGGCGGGGGCGAAGGCGGCGCCGGGGCCGCGGTGGCCGTCGGCGGAGGCCGGCTTGCTGGGGGTCTGCGAGGCGGGGAAGGCGCCCCCGCCCGCGCCGTGCGCGCTCTCGGCCGGCTCCAGGCTGCGGCGCCGCTGGCTGGCGTCCTTGGGCTTGCTCTTGTTGCTGCCCATGGTGCTGGCGGGAGGCAGCCCCTCGAGTGCAGGAGACGCCGCCTGGGCGCCCGGCCGCGCTCCGAGGGAAACCGAGGCCCGGAGAGGCGTGGGCTGGTCGCTCGGAGCCTGTGTCTTCCTCTGCAAAGTGAGCAGAACGGTGGCACCGGTGAAGGGCTTCCTCGGCACGGGCCGGGCGCCGAGAGGCGCCTCGTGGTCAGCAGCCCCATCCTCCCCTGGAGTCACCGTCCGTGTCCCTTGTGGGCAGTCATGCCCATGTCCCCAGCGCCTGGCACAGAGGAGGGCCTTCGCAGGGGGGTTGCCGAATGAATGTGTGATTGACTGGAACTGGCTAACCCTGGGGGAAAGGTGCTAACAGTGGCAACCAAGGCAGCGACACAAAGGAGATTTGAAGATTTCCCCCCGGGAGTCTGCAGGCCCTGGGGTTTCCTCCGAGAATGGCAAAAGTCTCCCTGACCGGTTGGGTTCTCGGACGAGGCTGTTTGCTCTGAGAGATGGTTGGAACCCCAATCCAGTCGCGGGGCTTTGCACATGCTGTTCCCACTGCCCAGAATGCTCTTCCCTGACAACTTCACCACGGTAACCGGTGCCCCCTTCAGCTCTCAGCTCAAACGTCACCTCCTCGTGAGGTGTTCCCCAAATCCTCTCACTGGTTCTGCCTGACCTGTGTCTCTCCTTGGTAACATGGGCCCTGTTCTTTCTTTTTTAAAAAAAATTCATGTGATTGGTGTGATTATATGATTATTGTCCTGGGTCCTTGTCTGTCTTGTTCACTGATGTGCTCCCAGTGCCTAGCATGGGCATGGCACACAGCAGGTGCTTAATAAACAGCTGAATGACTGAGTGACTATGAAAGAGCTAAGGTTTCTGAGCCAGAAATCTGGGAGTCCAGAGAGCAAGAAACGCAGAGGGAGCCGAGTTGAAAACCCCCTGATGCCCACAGCCCTGACACCCATGGCTCTGCCACCCCCTCGGCCTCCCGCTTTCCCATCCATAGGCCAGGCTGGCCACACCTCCGGCCAAGCCTGTCTGGGTCTCCCAGCCCCTCTGGAGCCATCACCTCACCTGGTGGGAGGCGGAGGCTGTCCCAGGGGAACTGGGAAGCAGCCTAGGGTCTCAGCACGTACACCAGGTGTGAAGTCGGGGTCTCGGACTGGAGGCCCTGCTCTACTTCTCTCTGCTGCGTGTCCCTGGACAGGTCACTTCCCCTTTCTGGGCCTGAGTGTCTTCATCTGCAGAGCAGAGATAAAGCAGAATAGTCAGGGCTGCTGTGAGGAGATGATTGGCCGGGGAGTTGCGGTGGCCCATCAGGCTCCAGCGCTGGTGCCAGGGGCCTCCAAACCTGAAATGCCCCCAACCCCTTCCAAAGGGTGTCATCGGCGAGAGGTGAGGCAGGCCGAGGCACAGAGGTGGGAGTTGTGGCACCCGCAAGACTTCTCTCTGGGCCTGTTTCTTCACCTGTAAGGGATGGGTCATGTGGCAGGGGACCCAGGCACCAGCAAGCAGGGAGTGCCGCAGGGCACTGGCCACCTCAGCTGTCATTGACACGCTGGACATGCCGGCCAGGTGGGCTCCGATTTCCTCCTGGGATCTGAAGGCCCCAGAATCGGTCCGGAGCATCCTCTGAGAACCGTGAACAGGGAAAGCTCCCATGAAGGTTGGGTCCTCAGGTGAGCCATCTGCCCTGAGCACCCAGCCCAGCTCGGCAGCCCCTCCCCACATGAAGGCAGCCAGTCCTGGCACCCTCCAGGCCTCTCGGGTTGCCCAGCTGCACAGTGTGGGGGTGGCCTGCATGCTCCCTGGGGACCGCACAGCTCAGAGAATGTGGGGCTGGGGAAGCCCTGGGGAGACCAGCTCCGTGGCCCAAGAGAATCACTGGGGCCTCCTGGAGATAGGCCAGTGGGCACAAGGAAGGCTGGTGTCCATGGCAACTGGCCCATCGAGGTCACAGCACTTGGCATTCACAGTTGCTGTCCCACGGCACCTGCTGACCCCTGGTGGTTGATTCTGATTGTATGACACACGTTTGTGGCGAGGACTTGGGTCAAGTTAAGAGCCAGAATGCTGGAGCGGATGACCTGTGTTTGAGTCCCAGCCCTGCCACCCCAATGTGGGGCCCTGTGGCTCAGTTTCCTCCTCTGTCAATTGGGGATGACAACAGTATCCACGTCACAGGGCTGCAGGAGAATCCGTGAGAAAGAACTCAGAACGTGCTAGGCAGTGTGGAACATTGCCAGTCCTCGATAAAATGGCAACTCTGATCACTGGACTCCTTGTTTTGTTTTGTTTTTTTTAGAGAGAGAGTTTTGCTCTGTCACCCAGGCTAGAGAGCAGTGGCCCGATCACGGCACACTGCAGTCCCAAACTCCTGGGCTCGAGGAATCTTCCTGCCTCAGCCTCCTAAGTAGCTGGGACTACAGGCGCAGACCACCACACCCAGCTAATATTTTAATTTTAGTTGTAGAGATGAGATCTCACCATGTTGCCCAGGCCGGTCACTAACTCCTAGCCCCAAGCAATCCTCTCGCCTCAGCCTCCCAAAGCCCTGGAATTACAGGCATGAACCACCAGTCCTAGACCAGAGTGTGTATACTTTTTGGGAACTCCAGGAAGACAAAAAGAAGAAAACAAATGCCCCATGATCCTGCCCCAGACGAAGCCACCTGGGAATGGGGGCATGTGTCCTCCAGCACAGAGCCACATGACCGTCAACACACTGGGATCCCTTGAATGTGTGTTCCCTTCAGGTGGGGCGGACCCAACCCCACACTCCCAGCAGCCAGGACAGGCCTGGCACTCACTAGATGCTCTGGAAATACTTGCACAACAAAGACGAGAGGAGCACGGATGTCTAATTCCCTTCCTGCTTCATTCCCGAGGTGCCACACTGCAGAGACCAAATATCATTCTTTGACATTCAAATACTCCCAGAGCACCAACCTGTCCTGGGCCCTGTTCTAAGCACTCTGCAGATACTGACTCAGAGAAGCCTCCTGGTCATCGATGAGGTAGATATTAAGTGTCTTTGTCTTACTGAAGAGGAAATTGAGATTCAGAGAAGGTGTGAGTGGGGGTAAAAAGCAGGAACAGGGAAGCACACTGGGCAGGCAGGATCAGAAGCTGCTCCTGAAGCTGGAGGCTGGAGGCTGGAGGCTGGAGCGTCCCCTCTCCCCTGAAGAGCAAGGCCTTGGCAAGGGCTGAGTGGACAGGGCAGCCCGGCGGCGCCTAGAGAAGACCAGGTCTCAGGCTTCCGCAAGGCAGAACATGCTTGAGGGAGGGCCCTGAGGGCGGGCGGTCCGGTGGGCCTGCTGCCATCGGGGACCTGGGGAGAAACCACTGCCCCGGAGGCAGGACCCATCCACGGGCTTCCTGGTCCTAGGCCCCAACGCCACGAGTCACCATGAGTTGCCTGTTGGAGAAGGGCCAATCCCCACATCTCTTCCACCACGTGCAGCCTCGAATGGAGACAGACCCCTGGCGGGGCGAGGGAAGCAGCAGGGGCCCACTCTTTGGGTGCCTGGGCTTCCAGGGATGGCCGCACCTTTCCCCCAGGAGGCTCTCCTGACCACAGGCTCCCACCCTGGACCTGGCTGTTCCCACAGGGCACCCGGAGCTACATGGCCAGCCGCACTCCTCTGACTCAGCATCTCCCTCGAAGCCTGTGTCCCGCCCCTGAACCCCTCTGGGTGACACTGACAGCGCCCGGTGGCTCCCCAGGTATCTGAGGAGCACCTCCTGCAAGCCAGCCTGGAATCTCCCAAATCCATGCCTCTCCCCGCCCTGGCCCTGTCCTCCTGGGCCTGGACAGAGCAGTGTGGCCCCTCAGCCCGCCCACCCCTGCGGCCACACAGACTGCAGGGCCTCCCCTGCTTGAAACTCCCCACAGAAATCCAGGGACGGCCTGAGTGTGCCTCAGAGGGGGCTGGCTAGAGAAGGGGTGCCCAGGTGCCCAGGGACAGCCAGGCAGCCACTGGAAAGAACAGGCCGCTGGACTCGGTGGCTCAGCCTGTAATCCCACGCCTTTGGGAGGCTGAGGTGAGTGGATTGCCTGAGCCCGCGGGTTCGAGACCTGCCTGGGCAGCGAGACCTCATCTCTACAATAAATCAAAAAATCCGCCGGGTGTGGTAGCGCGCGCCTGTAATTCCGGCTACTCGGAAGGCTAAGGTGGAAGGATCGCCGGAGCCCAATGGGTAGAGGCTGTGGTGGCCGGGAGCGGCCGCTGCACTCCCGTCTGGGCGACGGAGTGAAACTCCGACTCAAAAAAAAAAAAAAAAAGATCAGGCTGCGTGCGGCCTCAGGAGAGGCTCGCGACACACTGTGGAGGCAAAGAGGAAGACGGCGGGCAGCATAGGCTCTCCTTGGGGCATTTCCATCTTAGGGCCTTGGTTTCCTCCTCTGGAAGATAGGGACAGCGAGCTCCCTCCATCCCAGAGCCAGTGTGACGATGCACACGGTGGCTGGCGTGGCACCTGGCCTGCGGCACGCAGGAGCTGCAGGGGGTGCCAGAAATGTGTGCACATATCTTAAGAGATGCCATCTATGTATTACTTTTTGACATTGAATTAAATTATGGTAGCAATGTGTAGTATGGCGTCTGCTCAGCTGTGCTTCCTACACTTTTGTTGTCCTGCCTGTCGCACACACAGTAATACTAGCATTCGTTTGATTAATCCAATCTTTGCTCGAACATCATATTTGAATATATATGTGGCTTTGGGCACCCCCTGTACTATTAGTTCTGCACTCTGGAGGCTGAGAGAAAGTTCTGGAAGGATTCCAAATTCCTCACAATGTTTTATCCAAAAGATGTGAGATGGGGAAAGGAAAATCCCTTTTTTACTTAGTATCCTGTGTCAACTGACATTTAGAAATGACTGGCCGATGGTGGTGGCTTAGCAGAACTTACATCAGTGTCACTAAAGTTGGTATACAACTCCCCCCAATTTCCTAAATTTGCTTTAAAAATTACTTTGTCATGACTTTTTAAATGAGACTTAAAAAAAAAATCTTT